ATGCTCTCCGCAGGAGCATTGGCTTCTTCACATGAAGAAGGAAATTTTTTTTAGCAATGTTATAACATTATTTATATATTATTAATATAAATAATTTTTTTAGTTTGTATCACCATTAAAGGTCACGTGATATAAAAATTTTATTGCATTTTTTAGCATAACTTACAATTCTGAGTTTTGATATTTTTCCCAAAATTGGCCACGAGGCGCAGCAAGTTGCGGGACTAGGTGACTTGCACCATATAAACAAATGAACACAGATAATTCTATTCTCAGAGTTACGAGGTAATGATTCTCAAGATAGACAAGAATTTAAATATGAAAAATAGTAAGTAAAAGTTACACATTAACTTTTTGTTTTTATAATATATTTAATTAAATATATTTAATTAAAAAGGTATCACAAATTTCACTTTTTTCCATCGTTATTTTTTGCTTTGCTTTAAAAATAATTTACCTTTAAAAAAGGTTTCAACATATACGACGAATATTAAATTGTCATTTGGCCATTATCTTCTTCACTTTTATCTTTATTATTCAGTTATTTTTTACTAATTTAGGATAAACTGTGGTTTGATTGTCAGTTGAAAACGAGTATCTATCAGATTAATTGACTCAAAAATTTTTTTTTAAAGTTAAATAACTGCCGATCATTCGAAATCAACTGATCTGCATGTCACTTAAATCGCGGATCCTTTAATTCCTCCAAAAATGGAAATGTAAAACCAAAAAACAAGACCTTTATCTATAATTCAATAAAATTATTTGATATGTCAACATGTTATGAAGAAATTAAGACTCAAATTCACTATGTTAGTCCAAAATTGGCGTCATTATTTTATCATTGTAGTGTTTGGGAGTGAAATTCCTTTATATTAGCTGATTTAATTTTCACATATTATTAATATATGGTGAGTGGAATTGGTGTTGTGGTACAGAAAGTTCAGCGACTAAGTGACTTGCACTATATAACTTTAATAAGCCTCACAGGAAAAACCGTTTTTCAAATGACTTACAGTAAATAGAGGTTATTTGCCAACAACACTGAGGAAAAGCTCATTTTACGCCAGGATATCCTGAATCTCATAATTTATGTCATGTGATTTTATTTGACCAAGCTCAAAGTTTTTGGACCGGTTATTTAATTGACAGTTCACCATTGCCAACACTGATATTTAATGGTCATTTGACAGCAACATCAATATTTAGTAACTTGGGGTCAATTAACATTTCATAACCAACAAAATATCTTTTGTTGTTAAATAGTAATTGATAGTTACAGTCAAAACTTGTTGTCATGGTGAACTTTCCAATTCCAAAAGCAATTTTTTTTTCACTATAATGATATTTTGTTGCGAAGAAGATGATAATGGAAAGGTAATGATGATGACGGGAAGAAAAAGATGATGTAAAGGATAATGAAGATTTAAAAACAAGAAAAAACCTTTATTTTATGATTGTGTTCATTTTGCTAAAACAGTAATCAGCATTTGGCAATCTGACATTCCAACTATAATTCAACCATGCCGAATTTTAACTTTGATTTCTATCATATATTTTGTAGAATTATTGACTCATTATTGTCAAAAAATAATAAAAAAGGTAACATTTTAAGATGTTTGCCGATTTTTTTTTCGGCTAGTAACAAGTGATACACATCCAATATAATCAAAGGTTTGAAAAATGAGGTTAGATCTTAGTAATATTGTTAATGAACAGACAACATTGTAAATATAAAGAATTTCAAAGATTATAAATAACATATTATATAAAATAAAATCATCACCATCAGTTATTATTATAGCATCCAATACCGCGTATATTTTTATTTTATCCTATGTGTAACAATGCAACTTATAAAAAATATTTAATTCGTGATACGTTAGAAGTAGAAAATTAATTAGTAAATTGTGGGGGATCATCACTATCAAATGGTTACAATTGACCAACTTCCAAATTTTTTCTACCAGCACACATTATAAATATTACATAGAATATTAAATAATATGATGCAAAAAATCTCAACCATTATTTGACATTTTTTATTATTGTTTTCTTTACAAGTTTTTGACTTTGCTACTTAGCACCCCTGAATTTCAGAAAAACGTGGCGCAGTATCCACTTCTATCATGGATCACGAATTAATGGAATTTTAAAACTTTCAGCAAGATATAAAATGCGATTTAAAAAATACAAATAGTAATAGTGTTATTCCATCGCATCTTGTTATATATTTCATTAAAAATTTTTAAATTTTTATTTTAGCTAACGAAAAGCTTGATTCATTAAAATATAATCAACAGATTTTTATAATGTCAACCCTTACTTTGACATTATTCAGTATGCATCTCGGGAATTTGGCTTGTATACTTTTTAAGCTAGTAATTTCGTCACTTTCGTCACACATTTCGACTTTCATCACATAGCAACCAATATTGTTAAATGTCTTCTTTAACAACATTATATAGGCAACAGGCAACATATCATACAAGTTTATACTCCAAAAACTCATACCAAATGAAGATCTGATTCTATACTTTGATAAATTCATTAATCCCAAAACTGATCTAAATTATTTAACAAATCACCTCTTGGTTGCCTAGATTTATTTTACACTCTCAATGATCATTGCATCAGATGAAGGTTTAGGTTTATCTCCTTGATATTTTGATAAATAAATACCATCAATAATATGTCTAAAATATCCAAACTATACTGAGCCTCAATAAATTGCTACAGTTTGGACCATCTTGATCAGAATTCCAATCACATCATTAATGATCCCACACAATACATTGTACATGAGAAACAAAATAAACAATATTATCAGAAGAAAATCTTCCAATAATAAATTTATTTATCTTTACTTGTCTTGAATTCTTTTTTCAAAAGTTATAACATCAACACCATCATCATCATATTTTGCTTTAATATTTAATTCATCAAAGTCTTTAAAAATACTTTGATTTCTGTATTTGGCAAGGAATAATGGAATTTCTGATAAAACTTTGTCTGTCCATAATTGACTACTGTCATTATGAACTAGATAAATGAAATATTAATCTTAACTTTAATAACCTTTTTTTTTGACAAGATAACTATTACCATTCAAAGAAAATAGTTATCACTAATAAATTAATTATTGGGTAGTGTAAAGACATATGTTTATCTGTTCCTCTATTAGGTCCAACACACAGAATAAATATTTCAAAATCAAATCTTGTCTATATGGTCTCATTATTTCATAGATAATTGTTCTTACATTATGCCTCTTGAAAGTTGTTATATGATTTTATATTGCTGAAATGAAGTGAGTGTAAATATAATTGGCTCTGCACTTGATGTTTTAATTTATATCGAGGGTTTACCAACAATTTTTTGGATTTCCAATTGTGTTCCTCATGTGATTTTCAAAGAATTTGTTGATCAATAATGTCCAAATCCTTTAGTCATATAGATATAAATTTGTATTGATACATAATAAAATACAATGTATAATTATTATCATGATTGATCTCAAAGTGTATTAACTTATTGAATTATAGTGGTTTTTGCACTGGTAAACATCCAGTGCATCATCTTTAAGACAAAGTTGCCAATGAAATTCTGTATATTTAACATAACCAAAAATAAATATGCACCAAGTGAGGCTAGGTATAATTTGTTCCGTTCTATGATTGTCAAAATCCATGAAAAAGATATTTTTTTCTTATTTCCAAATTTTTTGATTAGCTACAGAGCTATCAATCAAGATGAAATGAAATCTAGCACATGTTTATACTAATGCTAAAGTCAGGTGGTGGAATATCTGAAAAAGTAGCTTTTGGCATTTAAGATTTATTTTATAAGTAAAAAATATTCCTTTCTATATAATAAATAAATAAAAATACTGTGTAAATATTTGTAATGAATGTTTGTAATAATTGAATATTTTTTAGTAAAATAAGATCCAAGTATTAACTCAAAATTGGCCAGAGACCAGCTGTCCTTATTTCTGTTTGAAAGGCCCCATATATGTACATATTATCTTTATTTTATTATTTTAGAAGAAAGTAGAGAGTTGAATTACTATTATAAAGAATTTTAAACTTTTTAAAATTATTTTTTCCATGACACAAATATTGTTTTTAAAAAATGTGTTATGTGTGGTGTGAGAAAAAAAAAAAGAAAATTATTAATGTACATAATTGTTATATAAAAAAATAAAATAAAACAAGCATAAGCTTAGTATGAAACTTAAAGAATTTAAAATAGTTTTTTTTTTGAGTTTTTATATTTTTTAATATTTTTATATTTTTAATATTTTTTTAATATTTTTTTTGAATTTTTTTTTTAATTTTAGAAAAATCAATATTTGTGTTAGTGTGTAAAGAAAGATCAAAAAAAATATGAATTTCGGGAAACATAATAATAATCCATATGACTTATTTATTTATTTTTATTTGTCAAAGATGAAGAAGATGGTGATATGGGTGAAGATGGGGAAGATGATGACGATGATGAAAGAGGGCCTTCGATAAGACCATCTTCCAATTCTCTTACTTCTTTTGGCCAAACACCAACTAATCTAATCAAACTACCCCAAGCCAAATCAAGTACCCACCTAGGTAAAACATTATGTACGAAAACTTGTACTTTGGCAATAGTTCCAATAACATAACGATCTTTAGGAAAACCAATTTCAATAGCTTCAACAACAGTTCTTACAATCTCTTTGTTAGGATCATCATGACTAGAATGAAGTTTTTGCCAAAATTCAATAGCCTTTTGAATATAATCCTCGCCATAAAGAGTAAGAGTTTGTTGAGTAATTTCTGGAGAAGCAAAGAATTTTTTAGAGATTTCCAAAAGATCAGGATGAGTTAATCTGCTTGTCAAAGGAACTGATTCAATCATCGAAATATGGATTTTCCATGGCAATAACTCAACTCTAACAGTATCAAGCATAGCTTCTAAAGCATGTTTAGATGCACTATATGCACCATAGAATGGTATGGTTGTTCTGCCCAATACAGAAGTCATCATTACAATTCTTGGTGATATATCTTGGTGTTTTTGTGCTTTTTTGAGGTTATATCTAATATTTTGTTTTAGACTGGGCAACAAAGCTTTAATTATTTTGGTTGGTCCCATAAAATTTACATCCATGGTTTTTAAGATTTGATCATTAGAAGTGAACTCGAATGCAAATCCTTCATTACAACCTGCGCTATTAACCAATGCAAATAAGCCTTTATCTTTTGTTTCATGAGCGACCATTCTAGCACATTGTTGAATAGATGTATCTTTTGTGATATCAAATAAAAAAGGTCTGAAATTTGGGGCAGAATTGTGTGCGAGAAATTCTTTGAATGCTGTTTCTGTCAGACATCCTATATAATTTATAATTAAGTCATTAAGTCATTTAAAGAAGAAGAAATAAATTATATTATTATTTACCAGCAAATACATAATAACCCCTTTTGTGTAGAGCTCTTGCGACCCAATTACCGACAATGGAATCACATCCAGTAACAAGTACATAGCGATCCGAAAACATTTGATTTGGTGGAGCTGTATCAAAAAAACTACCAACATATGATAGAATTCCCATTATCGTAGAAGTAAAGGATTTTTTTGTTTAAAAAATTATTTATTTTAGTATCGTTAAAAAAAAATTTTTTTTTACACGTCAGGGGAGTAAGTGGTAATGTTGTATGTATTATATTATTGTGTTGTTAATCTAGAAATAATAAAATATAAATTAATAAGCTTTATTAAATGAATTATGAATTATATAAATTATTCAACTAACCTTACGATCGTAGTAATTAAAGAGTAACGAATTAACGAATGATTGCAAAAGACATGAAAAAATATAAACAACAATATAAGGTAAGTAAGGGAGGGGTTTTTAAAAAGTCGTTTCAACACTTGAAAATATTTAGAAATTAATTCATTGGTGATTTATATATATTTTGAACTGTTTTTGACATGTGAAAAATGTTAGTAACGGTTGATCGTGAAACAAAAGAATTATTTTGATTATTTTGAAAAGAAAAATATAAAATTTTTTTTTCAAAATTGTTTGTTAGTAGTGGGTGTTAAATTTAAAACAAACATGCAAATAAATATTTTTTAATTATCCAAGAAATTAAACTGGTTTTTTTTTGTTTACTCAGGGTCCAGAAAAAGTTATCATTATCATTATCATTATTTAATATTAAGGAACGCCTCAATAAATATAAATATCGGTGCGCAGCATATTACACAAAATTTCGTGAGCGTTGAAAAAAAAATGATAGCGCAAATACCATCTTCCATGTGCTGCCTTGTTGTCGGTCTGACTTATTCGTCCCATTCTGGTGCTATTTAAATTTCGATTGTCCACTTTTACCAAATATTTTATCCACGAGAATCTGAAAAAATGCGTTGACAATCACATATTTGAATTACTATTGTGATAAAAAAATCTAATGCAAATGTTTAAGAACCATGCATGATTTGATATGAGCACGGTAAAATTATTCTGCATTTATTAAAAAGGGTTTTTTTGCAGTAACAACCTACAAATTTGTAAAAGATTGACCAAAAAATTTTTTTGTGTGCGAAATATAATTTTGAACCAAGCAGAATTGCAGTTTTTTCACTTTGTCGATTATAATCATTGTGATTTCCTATCTACTGTAATTCTATCTTAACCTACAATATAACCAAAAATAGTTCAAAAAATAAATTATTGTAATAGTATTGATGTTCGAGAAAATCACATTGTCTATTACAATAATAATAAAGAGTAATGATTATTTGGTAACTAATAAAGAATTTTATAAAGAACGCCATTAAAATAATATCTTTTAATTTATTCTTTGTGATTACGCCAATAATAAATAACTTTTTATTATGACAAAAAGAAAAAAAATATTTAGCAACAAAACATTTATTATTATAAACATTCCAATTAAAAAAATTATAATCTTGATGTTAAACATAATGATACAATTTACACGCTTACTTATACTTGGAAATAAACTATTAGTTTTTTTACATTGTACCCAATTCAACAATAAGCCACATGGATTCCATACATCAACATTCGTGCGAAAATTACGAAAAAAGTTTTATCGATTAGATTGAAATTAAATTATTAATATATATTTACATAATCTAACTTAAGATCAGGTTTATATGATTCACTACATTCAAACAATTTTATTTTTACATAAATTAACTATGCTCAAAAAATCCAAGCAAAGGTCAGTTTCGACTTGCAAACAACCTTTAATAATATTTCAAGACACTGTAACCAGTAGAGAATAAAACTTATTTACGCGATGTACACAAATTAGATGAATTATACACGTTTATTCATATCCTAACACTACAATTATAAGAGAATTTGAAAAAAAATTTTTGTGCATAGTTATTCTCAATATAAGAAGCTTATTTTATAAAACTAAAGGTTTAAAATATATCACTTTGTATCAACATTTAAAGCTTCAATTCCTCTAAAAATGGAAATATAAGAATCATATAATTAAAGCCAAGAAGTACTTTACAATTTTAAATTTTTATTTTGCGGGCGCTCATGTAACACTTTTCTGTTATATTGGGAAGATGGAACGAACTCTTATATAATATATTTTACACATTTAGATTTGGAATAAATTTTCGAAAACTAAATCTGCTTATCAACAAACAAATCAGAAAAATGAATAAAAGGTTTGCAAGTATCACAGTAGATGACTCTCAAACTTTTCAAATCCTTATAAATATACTTTTTCTCAGATGTATTTTTCATTGGAGATTTTTAGGTGAAATAATAAACATTATCTCTTGTTTTCTCTCTTTAAACAATTAAACATTAAAAATGTTGTGTCGGGAATTATGATCTCGTAAACCATCATCACGATCACACAATCATCACCATTATGGACTTTGCATCAAATGTAATAACCATCACATCTCATGCGCTCATATTCTCATCTACTAAATCATCCATTTATCCTGGCCAGCAATACTAATCGGAATAGCTGGTACAGGAGTTGATTCTCGTATGCTCGAAGAGGTGGTGGCAAGGTGAGGGAGTAAGCATAGGAGGAAATATTTTACAGTGAAATAATTAATGAATATCGTTCTAACAGACTTGTGTATGGCGTTTCCAACAGACTAGGCTTGCATGATTCATATAATTATCAATGGCAAGATAATTACATGGGAATCAATTTCATTCAAGTGTGGCTACATTATAAATCCTTAGGGTCCTCATTCAACGACTGTCATTTCTACTCTCAGCTTTTCGTTTCCTACACCAACCATCAACACCAGTCAATTTATGTTTGGCATTCAAACATTCTCAACATCAAAAAATATCCAATTGGAGACTCTCCTGGTCAGTGAGATTTAACTGTCCCCTTTGTTATATAATGTTCCACTTCAATCAATCAACCAATCAACCAACTATTAGATCAATTAGGAACAGGTCAGATCAAATAAAAAAGTCATTATTGTCACTAGAAAATATATATTAAAGCAAATTTCTAATTTCATCAATTATAAGTTTATTGATTAAAAATTTTTTTTTAACTTTGGATAAATAAATTACTTGAAATTATTATAATGTTGAATCATTAGTATTATTTTTTTCTTCATCATTATTATCATCAGATGTATTTGTAAAGAAATTTATGATGCCATTTTTATATTTACGCAAATATCTTAAAATTAATGCAATTATCAGAATACCGAAAAAATATAAAAACCAATAGTCCAATAATTTTTGAATACTTGGTTGTGTAATAATATCATCATCGTTAATATCATTGATGTTATTAATTAGAGAAGGTTTTGCTGTTTCAGTTGTATATTTTTCTTGTTCATAATTTTGAGATGAAAGTGTTTTTGTATTTGAAGATGAGTGTGAATTCTATTTATTATAATTTTTAATCACATGTTTTAAAAGAATATATAAGAGTAGAAAGAAGAAGAATATTTTATTTTTTATCTCACACAAATCATATTATTTTTATTAACAATAAAAAGCAAAAAAAACTGCGATATTCTTTTTGCAGATTCTTATTAATAATAAATTATTATTAAGTTATAATTCAGCTCTAATAGGTTTTTCACTTTCCTCAATTGGAAGTTCACCACAATCTACAATTTTCACATCTTTTAGTGGTCTATTATTTTGTCCTGTTTTAACATCTTCAATTTTATTAACAATATCCATTCCTTCTAAAACTTTACCAAATACAACATGACGACCATCAAGCCATGATGTTATGACAGTAGTAATGAAAAACTATAAACGAAATTAAAGGATTGATTATTAAAAAAATTGATAGTGATTGAACCAAAAAAAACTTTTTTATTTACTTGAGACCCATTAGTGTCAGGCCCTGCATTGGCCATACTCAAAAGACCTGGAGTTACATGTTTTAATTTAAAGTTTTCATCAGGGAATTTATCGCCATAAATAGATTTTCCGCCAGTACCGTCACCTTTTGTAAAATCACCACCTTGAATCATAAAGTCCTAATTAAATAAAAAAAGAGTTATTATTTAATCATTAATTGATTATAAATAAAATATATAGTATTATCACCTTAATCACACGATGAAAGTTTGATCCTTTGTAACCATACCCTTTTTCCCCTGTTGCCAATGCACGAAAATTTTCGGCAGTTTTTGGTACGGTCTATCAGCATAACAATAATTGTTAGATTGAAAGTGAAAAATTGAAAAA